TCAGTCTTTCTGAGGTGATGGGAAAACAGGTGTAGCAGATGAGGTGAAATAGCTTTTCTTCTTTATAGAGGAAAGTGTGCTATATAATTTGGCATGCTAAGAATTGTGTATCATGATTCTAATTTAAAACAAATTTCTAGGAAGTTAGTTATAAGCCTTTTGAAGGTTGATTACTGAATGTCTTCACTGGTGTGAAATCTGTAGGTCGTGCATGCCTTTCACAGAAGAAAGGCTCAGTTAGCTTCAAGTAATAACTTTACGAGAATACTTTTTGTAACAGACATAGCTCATAGTTCAGGAAAAATTAATTTAGTTAAAAACACATTAATGGAAAATGTAAATTAGCTATAACATATTTTGTAGCACAAGGTATGAGAAAACTTTAGGATGGAACTTTCCCAGCACTGGGTCAACTCTGGGACAGATAAAACTTAGTTTTGTCACACAGACTGTCACCGAGCTATTCCATGATATTTTTGCTGAACTGGGAGTGTTTTCTATAACTTATCCACCTATTTGAAAGTAGTCTGTCTTTGGAACTATTGAGCAAGAAAATCTGAGTTACACTTTTGAGGAGGCATATATTGGCCCAGAAGTAAGACTTGTCTGTAGGTTGAGGTGATGGGAGAGCTGCAGTTTCCTTAGCACATACTTCTCAGAATCCTCTAAGATATTGTGAAGCTAAGGGGGATGAGTTGGGGTTTATTGTAGAGTTTACTAAGAGTAAAAAGCTTCTAGCAGAAAGATGCTTTACCTAAAAAGGATGATTAGCAATTGCTACTTTATTGAACTGATCTTGTTTAAAGCATTTGTGGCGTGCAGCAAGGGTAGTACCTTACACCTGGACAAATTAGGATGGTATAATATAGCTTGTTTGTTCTGCACTTACATAGGTGGAAATGACTAGGGGAAAATGCCATTTTGTGCTAACATTTCTTTTTAGCATTTAGAGACATTTATATATTAAGCTTGCAGTTTGCAATGAGTATACCATGTATGGTGTGTGTAATCATGGTAGAAATTCTATATATGTATTGTGAGTCCTAGTCAATCTTTTATTAATCTAAGTAATTCTGTTAGGCCAGTGCTGCTGCATTTGTCAGTCTTCCTTTAAGAAAAGGTATTGCTGATTATGCTTCTAGAGTAGGACTTCACTCATGGCACTAATACAGCATGGTTTTATCCCAGCCTTTTAAATTTAATTTTTCTTCAATTTGCATGGACTAGAATCATATGACAGCAGAATGAGAAAGTTTTGAACTTTTTGGAAAGCATTTACGGAGTTGATGAATAGAACTAGCTTCTCTGTGTGATTATTAGCATTGAAAAGCCATCTTGTTCGAGAAGAAAACCAAAAATCTATTTTCTTTTTGTTTGGCTAAGTTTTTCTCTGATGCACGCAGTGGTTTTTTTTCTCTCTGGTACAGTCTAAGGACAGAGTAGGTTGTTTCAGGCTACATTTACATCTCCTTTGTTCAGGATTTCACTAAAAGGTGAAAGTTATTTGAAGGCTGCTTAAGTTACATCAGCTTATAAGCAGCCATTATCCTGCAAATCCTACAACGCTACACAGAAAATACATGGAAAGGTCCTTGGAAAAAAATATTTCACACAATTATTATGCTAAATTAATTTTCTGGATGGAATTAAGGACAAGTATTGCTGTGACCCTTTTACTTGGTATCAGATTCAGGTAAGAATTGTGTTTGAACTGTCTTGTTGATTTAAAGAAGTTTGCCTCTTCTAAGTAGTATTTGACACTGAAAATACCACAGTTTCTCAAGATATACCCTATCAATGTGTTGATACCCAAAACTAAATCAATGAGTGGTCAAGACTTTGTGTAAAAATGAAATTTCCTTCATGTAAATGTACCTTGCCCTGTTGCTTTTTGCTTTTTAATGATTCTTCTGCTGCTGTTTGTTACAGACATGGTCAGAAGAGGTTTGTATTTGATACACCAGATGGGCATTCAGAAAACTTATAGATGTGTAATTGAGAATACCTTTTTGTACAAGGAAGTTCTTCAATCTACACTAACATTTAACTGCCTGAGATGACTGAGATTTTGAGATTTCTGTCAGCACTCAGTTTTGGAATTGTATCCCCTCCAAAAGGAGGTCACGTGTTATGTAGTGACTGTTTTTTACCTTAGTCTGTGGGGGGTTTTTTTAACTCTTCCTGCCCTCCCAAGTCCCTTGCAGTTTTATGTTTCTTTAGTCACTGGATGTTCTTTAAACTTGACCTGTTGTTTTGCTTCAATTCTCATTTTCTTAACATACTTTCTGCCTTTTTTTTTTTTTTTACATCAACATTTCTTAGTTTTCTCTTATTTAGCTCTCCTCTTGGTTTAACAGTCTATTACCTATGCCATCTCTGATGTTAGTCAGATAATACCTGTTCATATTTGCTTGTGGATTCCTCTACTGCTGTTAGCTGTATTTGAGGGAGGATTGGGACTGAGCATGTAAAAATATAACATTAACTTTTTATGTACTTTTAAATCCATTTTCATAATTTTATCTTATTAGACCCCAAGGTATCCATAGTAACTACAAAGATAAAAATTATCCCTGTTAAGTTCATGAGAGTCATAGAGACCGCTACTAACTTTATTGAAATTGGGATTTTGTCCTAGGTTTTCTTCCTAACAGTCACAGGGTAAGAGGTTTTAAGTTAGTTTTTGTTAACACTCATGACACTGCTCTGGTGTCATAGTTATGACCATACATGTATGTTGCGTAAGCATTTCCAGTATCCTTTTAGTTTTAGTCTTTTGACTAATCTGTATATAGAGAAAGTTTTGTGTCACAAGTAATTCTTTTATCCCTTTTTCAACAGCATTCATCTGAGTCTAGAAATTTGTGCCGGCCTTGTGATAAGATTTTTTTGCATTATCTGCAATCTGGACATTTGCTATGACTGTCTTAGGTTATTCTCAACTCACTGTAGCCAGTCACTTTCCTTTTTACCCCATTAAGTAAAAAAAGTAAAAGGTATACTGAGATTGACAGAAATACTGACTACACAAATAGTATGAACTGCCACTCCTTCATTTCCTATCTTATTTGTGTTCAAAATAATTTCTAGTCTGTTAGAATATCTGGGAGTGCTTGTCCTAGTGCCAATTGCTTAGCTTCTACTTTAGTAAAAACAAAAACCACAATATGTATGAAACAACCATATTTTTTATCACACTTTCATCTTAAAGTTTTAGAATTTTCTTCTACTTGGTGCTTTGAAGTATACAGCTTCTTTCTATGTTGGGGACTAAAGGCCAGATGAAATGAAGGAAGAAAATGGAAGGAACTTTGTCTTGAACCAAAAGGTGAAATTTGCATCTTTGCTATTAGCTTTAGCTTTAAACAATAAAGTTAGGTACTTTAATTTGTGCTAAAGCACTTAAATGCCTGGCACAACAGTTGCTGCTGTTTCAAATCATAGTTGAGGGTGGAGGAAATGATCATGCTGATTGTTTCTTTTTATAATATCAGAAGTTGGAGCACTTTGAAGAAAGGTGTGTATTTTACACCCTTCCCATCCTAACAAGGTTACATTTGTTTCTCAATTCCAAAAGGAGGTCTAATTCACTGGAGTATAGTCTAAACGAAGAGGGGATGCTGCTGTGTGTTCTTTCAAAGTTGCCCTGGTGTGAAAAGGTGAATGCTTTTCCAAGTTGCATATTGAAAAAAAAATTCTTTAAGCACACCAGAGTTCAGGACAGAATCTGAAGCTGAGAGTCTCAATATCGTATTTGATATCTCCTACAAGGTGGTTAAAGTGGTGCCTTAGTGTGGGGCAGAGAGGTGATTATGCGCAGTATAATAAGAGTATAATATATTATACATAGTATGATAGTACATACTATAGTAGCATAATATGTTATATATAAATAATCTTTTTGATTATTAGCTCTGAAATACCCAGTATTGAAGTTCCTGAATGTTGTAAACACCTTTCCTAGGCACCTAGCCTGGGTTTATAAATTCTGGAGTTTCTAAAAGGAAGGGCTACTATTACCTTTGAGTTTAGAACTAAATGCCTAGAAAGCAGATTTTTTTTTTTTTAAATGCAATACCTTTCATGTAGCTGCTGTTTACTAGTATACAGTAGCTGAAAGTGACTGTCAGCATTTTGTAAACAGGCACCTTTAGATAGTGTTTGCTGAGTGGCTAGTGATTTGAGTCCCTGATCCTCAAAGACTTGAGCAAGGCATATTCAATGCATATAGGAATAGTTCTGCAAAGCCAAACAGAACAGTTCGGTGGGGGGGGGGCTTATGTGGGACCCAGGCCCGCACAGAGAAGCCACGGAAGGTGAGAAAAGCAGCTGCAAACAGTCTGTTCATCTGCGATAAGCACTGTGCCTTAATCCTGAATGTGAATCACTGCCTCTTCCTTCCACATTTTGTGAAGCATACAAGACATTGACTCTACAAGTTCTCTCTTATTCTAAAGTGTAATTATAAACAATGTTTTTAACTTGATAGCTATAAAAGGCTTCATAAATGATAACAAAAAGTTTCAGTGTCACCCATGATTTGTGTTACAGCTCTGCTATAGTTTTGTAGCGTTTCTTTCTGATTTGATCTGCTGTTCTATAGAGATGCATAAAACACACAGAGAATATGTAGCAAGACATATTCTCATTGTAGGATCTGCTAGAAGTATGCTTTTGCATGTATTTTTACCTGGCTTCTGCATTTAGCTACCAAGTGCCTGTATAGACTTTTTGTGTTCACTACAGTAATTCTGTACAAAACTACAGGTGACATTCCTGTTGGCCTTAATCATTTCATGTAAACTCTTGACACTTAGAATTGTCTGATCTCTGAATTTCATAGAGCTAAGTGTGTACATTTTACGTATACTTAGTTTTTTTAAATTTATGGTAAGTATCAATATAGCTGTATTTTAAGAGATAGTTTTCTTACATTGTTTGAATAGAAAGTAGAGAAGAATTTATAAAACTTAAACGTTTTAAAATACATTTCAGGCTCAGAAGGCGAAACAGAAAAACCCGACGATACGGAGTTTTGGATACAAACATAGAAAACATGGAGCTGACCCCATTAGAGCAAGATGATGATGATGATACAACACTATTTGATGCCAATCATCCTCGAAGGTTTGTATATAGAAGCTGAATGTACTTCTAGCAATAGAAGTGAAGGAGTATGGATGATAAGCAGTTTCACTGAGAAAGCTCACTACTGTGTTTCATATGCATGTAGTTGGAGAAGGGATGTCAAGATGACTTGAATTTTAAATGGGCAAGAATTTAGTGGGCAAGAAGATAAACACCATTTGTCTTCAGCATGTGAGTTCCAGAGAAATGGAGAGGAAGGTAGGATATTTTTGTTACAAATACAGTGTCATTATTGAAGCTTATGTTAAAGTCGACAACTAGCTTTTACCTTTCTCTTCTCTTTTTTTTTAATTTTGGAGGCTTCTCAATTTTTCCTGTGTATTCTCTCCTATGAGTTCTGCTTCCAGCAGCTTCATTCTGCTATCTCGTTGCTAAAGTACTCAGCAGTTAGTTGATGATGATCCTGCACCAAGTTTTAGATTTGGTACTGCTGCATAGGAAGGCTCATATTCTTAAGTCACCCTCTGAAACTGTGTAGATACAGGAAAATTATTTCCTTATTGTCCTCACACTTAAACATTATGATCAATTCAAACTTAAACTTACGCAATTCAAACTTAAAAAAAAAAGTACTTATTGAGTAATACCATCACACTGCACATGCAAAGACATAGTAAAAAATTTGATAGAATTGTCATAGTGAGGACTACTGTCAAGTATCAGAAGAGATAAAATGAATTCTGCCAGTCACAGCAAGTAATTGATTCAGCACTGTTTAATGTGAAACTGAATTAAAGTGTTAAGCAAAACAATTCAACAAATGCTATACATGATGTCTCAAATTAAAACTATTAGAGTAGTAAGTCAGATGTTGTGCTGTTTATTAGGAAACAACTTTGGATGCAGTTCTGGAACTTGAAGTGAAAGATTCAGTCTTTTAACTTTGTCTCCTTAGGGGGAAACATTTCAGATTAAATTTTTTTCAAAAGGCATCTTTGCTTTTTCTCTCCCCCATACATTAGAAGAAACTAGTTGGAATATCTCCACTTACCACTCCTCTGTATTAGAGTCATGTGGCACTTACGGTTACTCCATGTTACTAGTCTTGTTCCAGTATAAATTATGCCTATTATCTAATAGGTAATTGTCACATCATGTCCAGGAATTCCCTTGATGTCTTTCCTAGATCTTTTAAGTTCTCTTGTAACTCAGCATACTTATTAGACTTTGAGGTATTTGATGACCAGTTAACATGATACTTCCTCACAAATGTTTATTTACAGGAGTATCAAGTAACCTTTTTACTAGGAATGAACAGGATAATATGGCTAGTCCTCATTAACAAACAGTATTACATGATTAACAACAGTATTGTATTCATGTCATAGAGGTTACTTCATACTCTTGTATGCTTATTTGGAGATTAAGCATGGTTGTACTTGTTGTTAAGATGCAAGGACCTGATTATGTCTCAAGAGCAGTATTTTATCTAAAGGTACTATACTATTAATATGTTAAACAGGTGTATGCACTGTGTCTTCTAGTGCAGAGGAGGCTGTATTAATGAGTGGTATTGAAATACATGTCTTATGCATGTAGATAAGTTTTCTGATTTTTTCAACTGCTTATAATAGCTTCCAATTTACCTGGTTTGGAAATTTGGGGGGAATTATATTAAGCTTTCCAGACACTGAAATGGCAGCATGCGTCTTTTAACCTTACTCTTTTACCTTAGTAGGTTGTTGTCTAAATTGGGTTCACATTCTACAGATAAATCTAAAATTCCTAGCTTGAAGCTTACTGTATATTAAGATAAGCAAGATTGTTTTTTTGAAGTCTGAAGCTACAAAACCACCCCAAACTGTCAGTGATTGTGTCTATTTCTTTAAACTTCTTTGCATACCTTAAAATAAAAGCAATGAAAACCCTAGAGGGAAAGTTCACTAAAATAATATCAGAGGTTTTCAGAGGGCGGATTTCTGATTGTTTGGGGTTTTTTTTCCCCTCTATGTTTCTAAACACTTCAATTTAAGGGAGAAAAGATTTTCATTCAAGTATTTTATTGTAGAAGTATCTAATATGCACAGTAATTTTAAATTGTTACAAATCCGTTTTGCAGTCAGTCTCGCAGCTGCTTATGGATTAACCAAAGTATGTAAAGGAGATAGATACCGTTCTTATCTGGTTTACATACTTCAGTTATTTCATTCTTGTCTCTGACAGGATGTGTAAGGACAAAACAGAAGTGAAAACAGTAAGGATGAAACAGAAGTGAAAACAGTAAGAAAAGAAGTATGGTTTAGACTGAGGTCCTTATTTTTGTTTTACTCTTCCCTTATTGCCACACAGATATGCTAGGGTGATACTGGGGTTTATATATGCTTGTTAACTGCCTATCAATCTAAAGAGACAAACCTGAGAACTTCTAAAATCTAAATATGGCTGTACCAAGGATCCTATATATTTCTGTCATGGTTATTCAGTTGGGTAGAGTATATTCTATTCATTCCCCTTCAAAATTTTTCTTGGAAATTCATACTCAGTGAAGTGGTTGTCTTATGGATTGCCCTACCTCTGGTCCCAATATGGATTTTGTCAAATTATGTCCTAAATTAATGTTTTTGCCACTACAACTTTCTGTGGTTCTGTGGTTTAAATTAATTTGGTTTAGGATTAAGAAATTAACTTGCATTAAAGCAAACTTTTTATAACTATAGACAGCAGGCTTTGAACTGCATTTGTCCTTTGTGATAACTACAAAAAAATTCACATTGTTAGTGTTGTAGTTGGAGGAAAAAAAAAAACACCAAGAAAACCTTGTCCTAATTTCCAAATATTCACCCCCTCTTTAAATTGAAGTACTGCAGCAAATCTTCGTTTAGTTTAGCTATACCAGGCAATTCGGAAGTATTTGAAAGTAGATGACTGATCCAGACCATTTTAAAAATAGTCCTTTGGATTACATATGGTACAAACATAATCAATACAATATGTTTCAATACAATTCAGTTTCAATACATTAGTAGTGTTTCATTTAGCTGATGGCATAGCTACTGTAAGATAAATCAAGTATTTATTTTAATAGATAACAGTTCCTCACACACTCTGGTATCTTGTTGATGAAAGAACTTCTGCTAGATATGTAGTATTTGATTTTAAAATCATCAGCTTCAGCTGGAAAAACAATACCTGATGTTTTGATCCAAGTCCAAATTGCCCAGAAAAAGTGGAGAGAGAAGTGGCATGTAATGCTTGAACATGTCGTAGTCTGGAGTAAATACACAGGGTGATGTAACTTGTGGTGTAGGCATACCTTTTTTTCTGCCCTGTGCGGAAATGGTCTGCAAAATGACCTCAAATTTGATGTTTGCTCACAGAAGAGATGATAATGTCAACCTTTCAGTCAAACTGCAAGAAAAGTAATTGTATTGGAGTAACTGAGCGATCTAACCAAACTCAATTTCAACACGTTTCTGTTAACGTGATGAGGAAAACTGACTAAACAGATCAGAAATAATACCTTCAGAAGAGAGTAACTATAGATAATAAAGGAAGAAGATGTTACTGTTGTTTCAAGATAGCTCAGAAAGTAAGTGCTTAAATTATCAAAATCATTATTTTGATATCGGGAGCTTGAGAAAACTATGACTTCAGTTATGTTTAGTCAATAATATGAATATACTCTGTTTATGTATATTGAGAGCTTACCGTGTTCTCCTTTATGGGGAGAAGCTCTCAAAATTTTAGAAGTTACTTTTTATCTTGAAACAGTGTTTGTGTGTAGGAGGAAAACAGTGCTGAACAAGGTGAATGCACTCCACAAATCCCTCTGGAACAGCTTGATAAAATGCTGTCCAAACTGTGCAAAGCAATGGCATTTCTGGGAGGGAAGTTTGAAAACTAATGTAGAGTACCTTAAAAAAAAAAAAAATTAAAATCCTTAATTGGGAATGTACTTTTTTCAGTTAATTTCTTTCCCCTTGGTTCAACTAAGTCTTTTGCATCTGCATTGAAGCTTAGTAATCAGTCTTCATATCACTGTTTAACCAAGAATGACCAAAGGGAGTACAAAATGCTTAAGTAATCAAAGAGTCGCTGAGGACAACTTGATGATAATGATACTCAGATATTCTCAGGAGATGTCATTTGCAGTAATTCAGAGGTATGGCTGGTTTGGGTTTTTTAAGGTAGCATAAATATGCAGTCAGGCTTGGAGCAACTAATTAGGGAACAAGGAAGAGGGGCTTTTAATGGTTTTTGAGTTTAGTCCTTTGTTAAGTAAATCATAATTGCCATTTTGCTTAACTACAGTCAACAATCAGCTTATTCAGTTCATAAGTTTCTTACCCTCATAACTCATAATGGAAAGCACTAGAAAACTAAACGTTATTACAGGAAATTCTAATCTACATGTTCTGGTGGGTTTATATACATTTGTTATGGACAACAAGTTATAGAAGTATTGTTTTATATAGAGAATAGTTGTCTTCTTTTCCTTCTTTTTTTATGACCTGTTAATAGACTGCGGTAGTATCCACTCCTTTCATTTTTCTTGACTAAAACAATCGAGCTTTTTTTAAGGTGATGCTCTACAGCACAGTATGCATATTATGCATATGTTAGAAATCCCTATTGGCTTGTTTAGGGTTAGCTGGTAAGTCTATTCGACTCTTTACAAGGCTAGGCAGAGAAACTGGCTTCTTTCCTAAAATCAGCATAGCAGTGTTAGTATACTGGTGTGCTGATATGGTTATTACTTCAAGTGTTGTTGCTGTTTTCTTTCAGAGCTGTATGAAAAAAAAAAGTTCAGTGTTCTCTGTTGTAACATAGATGCAATTTCAGTGTATTCCCACTGTTGCCATCACCCATGTAGCTAGTCTCTGTGCCTCTTCAGTTTGGGGCATCTTACCTGAATGGGATGTTTTAGTCATTTTGTTCAATAGCGTACTATTACATGTCAAAGTTTGAAATTCTAACCTTCGGTTTCTCACCATGCGACTTTGTGTACATGTCAACTGAGGTACAGTATCCTAATATCACATCTTTGTTTTTCAAAGGTATGTCACACTAATAGTTTACAATCCTCATTAAATCACTTTACATACACGCTACTTGCTGCGTTGCAAGGCACAAGGGAAAGCACTTATTCTATTTTTGATAGCGTTCCAGTTATGGAATGCTACCAAGAGTTACCAAAGTTTGAATAGGAACTCAAACTTGGAAGTTTTAAAAATGTGTCCAACATGATAAAAACCCAGTTTTTTTGTAAGTGAGCTGTCTCTCTGTTTGGGAAGTTTAAATGAACGGAGTTCCGTAGCACTTTCCTTCACAGTAATATGGTAACTATGAGTTTTTACAGGCAAATTTAATAATAAAATGTTACATCTCTATAGGTTTTTTCATAATGTTTGGTCTTCAGAAATGTAGGCTAAAGTTCCCCTTGAAACAGGGCATTTCAGATTAATGCATCTGTTTCTTCTGTTGTAGAGAAGTACGTGCCTTTCAGTGAAAGAACTTAATCTTAGAACCAGAGAAGGAGACTGCTTCATGGGAGGAATAAGAAGCAAGAGGGTATGCAAGTTGGGGGGACTAATTTAATTTGTGTATATTTTGGCATCCTTAATTTGTTGCAATAAATACTGTACCAATTTGTTGTACCTTTTTGTATATAGAGGATTCTAAATGTAAAGCATACAGAGAGAGAGTGCACTAAAATGAAAACCTATTTGGAAGGGAGATGACTTAAAACAGGGTTTTTTTTGCTTGTTACAAATCTTGTATGCCACAAGTGTGGTATACACTTTTTCTACAGTAATCTGGAATGTTATCAAAGTTTTTTGCTGATATTAAATTGTAAGTAAACATAGCCTCTGTGGACTCCTCAGAATTGGTAGAACTTGGTTTTAGTTGAGGAGATGCTTTATCCTTTTACAAATAAAAAGCCAAACTACTGCCTTTTGTGTTGAGACTTTTTTAAACTGAATTAACATGTTTTATGTAAACTTTAATGAACAAATAAAAACTGTTTACAGTGTTCCTATCATTTAGCGTGATACTTCAACACTTCATAGATTTTAAGGATATTAATATGATCTTGTAAAACACAGTACTGCAACATCTTTTTGCTGTTAAGACTACTGATTACAACAGTCAATTTTTTTGAGGTCCATCTTGAACTTGTGTAAACAGATGTTGCTCACTGACTTTAGGGTGCTGCTGGTGTAGTCCACGTGGTGTCAGTGTTCAGACCTATGGTGAAGCAGAGATAAGCCTTTGGGTAGCCTTGTTTACTTTTGTACTTTTTAAGGTTTTTTGTACTCAATCTAGGTCAAATACTAAATTTGCTGTAACTCTAAAATGAAAAAGTGACATCAGAAGCAGCTGTTACTATGAAACATGTGGTAATATTCACATGAATGTAGTTGGCATCCAGCAGTTATATTTATTTTTAGGTAGTGCCATAAAAATTAATAGAACAAGCTTTAAGACCTGGGAGACCTAATTTTTTAAAAAGTGTGTTGCAGTTTCCACAAGCAACTTGATAATGCAGACAAAGTGTTCAAATTCCAGTTCATTAAAATTACTGTGTAAATTTATTCCTAATTCTGTATATATCTACTATCAAGGTATAAACTTGCTATGGCAGTATTGGTGGGGCTGGCTATGTTTCCTGAAAGTTCCTGTGTTATGGGATATGGGGAAAGAGGGATTATCTTTCCTGTTTCTTCAGTCCCTTCTTGGTGTTCAACAAAATAGGAATACCTTATTTGGCTTTGAGGTTATTTCTGTAGTGTTGGGGCGGGGAGGGGGTCTGCTGTAGACTTCTTTTAACCCTGTACCAGCTGATTTGCTATACTGAAACCTACTTACTTTGCCCTAGTAACAACTCAGATGAGGTCTGAAGTAATGGATGCCAAATCAGCCTCCTAAGGTGATTTTCATCTATAGTTGCACATGTGCTGCACACAGCTGGGAAATATATTGTATTTACAATAAATGCAAGTTTTTATTTTGCTTCCTCTCCTCTTGTACCCAACTTCTTCTGCCCATAGTTAAAGATAAAATTGAAATAAAAACATAGCACTGATTCTTGGAGAGGCTTAGCTGGGGAATCTAGAGACATAGTGAAGAATAGCTGTCTCACACACTGCAGGTGGGAGAACAGCAAATGATAGAAGGCAAAGCATGTTGCTTCCCTTTATAAAGGGGACCATCAGTGTTTAAAACTTAACATAATTGCAATCTTTCTTTAGATTTTAATTTTTCTAGCAGTGGTACATGTTAGCCCTAGCAGTAGAGACTGTCTTCCTGACATCCTAGAGTTCATTGTTTTAATTCTGTAGAATCTTTATAGGCTTTGGTCTGAATACATCCTGAGGAGCTGTTATGCTTGCTAAGCATAGATACTTGAGTTGTTTAAGTATGTTAGAAACACTGGAAACACTCAGATTGTAAGGTCTTTCGTCTCCTGGAAGTAAATCTTGAGAATTTCCTGGAGGAAGAACAAAATAGAACAGGTTATTTACATTTCTAAAGCAGATTTTTTTTGGGGGGGTGGAGGGGGGAACCCAGCGAATTTTCCAAAAAGTTATGTGGGCTTCTTGGATTCATGTCTCCAGAATTATGAGGATCTATTTTATAGGATAAGTGTCTATAAAGCAGTCATACAACTGGTAATAAGTTGTGACAGTTTTGTTGTGTGGTAGGCCAGATACTATGTGGTCCATGGTGTGAACTTCCTTGGCCTTATCCAGACCATATTAAATTTCTCTATTTTATAGGATAAGTGTCTATAAAGCAGTCATACAACTGGTAATAAGTTGTGACAGTTTTGTTGTGTGGTAGGCCAGATACTATGTGGTCCATGGTGTGAACTTGGCCTTATCCAGACCATATTAAATTTCAATAGCTGAACTGGCTCTCATTGCTATTGCAGACACAAAATTAGTCAAAAATACCAGTGTTGTATGTGTCTTGGTCTTAACAGTCGGAAATTGGTTCTGAATTATGTGCAGCCTCTGTTGATATGTGCAACAACATCAGTAGTACTTTCAGCTGTGGCTGAAAAGCTGTTCTTATGGTAGCCTAACATTCTTTCAAAAATTTTGGGAAGAGTATGCCACCCCAGAGGCCAGTAACTGACCCGTGTATAAATGGGACTAAAGTTTATATCAAGTGTACTTATCACTTTACAATTTGACATAAAACACAAGGTTAAAAAGATGAAGACAATTAATTATGAAATGTATAAATGAGTAGCCATATATGGAAATTTTTATTCCCATTTGAATCAAGATGTTAACAGGGCAGTAAAGAATGGGAGCTGATCTGCTGAAATAAAGCTCCTTAAAGATACAAGACAGCCCAAGTTTAATGCGAAATAAGCTGGGGGAGAGGCTAGATTTCTTCAATAACTTGAATTTCTGGAGACAGAAATGAAATGTGCAGAAAAAACTTGGAAGACTCAAAGAAAAAAGGTTGTTAAAAGATAACTTTACAAATTTCAGTATTAAAGCTATCATGTTATATCTATTACTGTTTGTTAGGGCTTTGTGACTTTTTTCTTCATTAGTGCAATTTGAGACATAGCATGTACAAGAATATGTAGTTCGTGATCAAGTCTGAACGTATTAGTACAGTGCATTGATGGGATAATGGAATATACACCCTCAGACACTGTGAATGGGTCTGAGAATGAGAAATTCATGATTCAGAAGAGGTAGGAAGCGTTTTAATTTTTCTTGTTGACTAGTAAGAGCCAGGAAAGGTCTATAATATAAAATCCAACTGAAAGACCCAGGTCTCAAAAGACCCAGTGTGGCTGGACTGCTTCATAGTTTTAGAATAGACTGCTGTTTGCTACAAACTTCTTGTCTCATGGTACTACTGATGATGATGTTCCAAGTTGTTAACTGCTAAACCCCTGCAGAATTGACCCAGATCTCTCTGGAGTGCTGTCCTCTGATGAGATTTTTTGCGTGATTTTTCTCTGTCTACAGTTGCTCATCTGTTCCAAGTGGTTTGCACTCTGTTTAGCTTGCATCTTGAAGCATTCTTATTTTAAGACTTGAAAATAGATGTGAAATGAGAAGACTTCTTAAAGATATTATCAGGATGATGGAGAAGTATGGAAGAGTATGAGCCAAAAGGGTTGTGCTTTTGGCATAAGCCTTTTGCTTGCTTATGACAGTATGCTTTGCACAATATGCAATATGTATAATGTTTTTATAACGATGTGGATGCAGGAACCAGATGTACATTAAGTAAGTTTGCCAATGATACTAAACTGGGAAGACCTGTGGACTCCCTCAAGGGTAGAGAAGCTTTCCAGAGAGATCTGGATAGACTAGAGAGCTGGGCAATCACCAATCATATAAAATTTAACAAGAGCAAGCGCTGGATTCTCCACCTGGGACAGGGTAAGCCTGGTTATATGTACAAATTGGGGGATGAGAGGCTGGAGAGCAGCCCCACAGAAAGAGATCTGGGTGTCTGGGTTGATGGCAAGTTGAATGTGAGTCAACAGCGTGCCCTGGCAGCCAAAAGGACCAACCGTGTCCTGGGGTGCATCAAGCACAGCATAGCTAGCCAGTCGAGGGAGGTGATTGTCCCACTGTACACTTCACTGGTGCGGCCCTACCTTGAGTACTGTATGCAGCTTTGGGCACTTCAGTATAAGGACATAAAACTATTAGAGTGTGTCCAGAGGAGGGCTACTAAGATGGTGAAAGGTCTCAAGGGCAAGACTTACAAGGAGCAGCTGAGGTCACTTGGTTTGTTCAGCTTAGAGAATAGAAGGCTGAGGGATGGCCTCATCGCAGCCTACAACTTCCTCAAGGGGGTCAGCGGAGGGGGAGGTGCTGATCTCCTCTCTCTGGTGACCAGCAACAGGACACGAGGAAATTAGGAAAAGGTTCTTCACTAGGAGGGTGGTCAGGCACTGGAACAGGCTCCCCAGGGACGTGGTCACAGTACCAAGCCTGTCAGTTCAAGGAGCATCTGGATGACTCTCTTAGTCATATGGTTTAGTTTTAGGTAGTCTGTCGAGGAGCAGAGAGTTGGACTCAATGATCCTTATGGGTCCCTTCCAACTTGAGATACTCTATATACGAGAAGGGCATAGCCTGAGGTCAAAACCAAAAGTTATGCCAGAGATCTTTTTGAACTGTTATTCGGAAAGGGCACTTTGTTTATTGATCTTCTTCCCTAAGCCTCATTCTCTTTAATAGAAACAAAGATTCATTTGTTACAGCTTCAGAAAACCTAATCGATAGAGGATGAAACAATACACATTCTCACCCAAGCTTTTCGTTGTTCATGTTTTAAAGAAAAGGCAGTGTCAGTTCAACAGCTATCCAACTGGATCATGCATTGTATGAAGAATTACTCATTTCTAAAAACAAACTCTTTATTCCTGCCACAGCTTTTTCTTAAAAAAAAAAAAAAAAATCCAGCAATAAAAGCTTATAAGTAAGGTAAATGGTATTTGTGAGGAATCTTTGTGAAACTCATAGTTTTAGGGGTTTTAGACTAGCACAGACTTCTGCAAGAGATTACTTCATTCAAAAGCCTGTATGCCACAAATATTTTGAAACCTCGAGGTACTGCAGGGGAAATACAATATGTTTGCACTGGTCTTACTCTGTTGAACCTGCTTTGGCCACTGTCCAAGAAAAGATGCATGGCTAGGTGGATTTCTAGTCAGACCAAATACAGCTGTTCTTATTCAGTGCTCTGATAGAGTCCAAAGGCCCCTCATCTTTCTAAACACAGAAAATACACTTTTGTGAAGATATACATTAAACCTGCTGATCAAAGCAGGAACAAATATACTGACATTGTTGTGATGTTTCTGAAAGTTAGTCTTGCACTTCCAAGTTTGAAGATTGTTTAGGTAAGTGGAGAAATCTAGTTCAAGGCTTAACTATCCTTTCTAGTAGATTGGTTTTTAATTTTGTTTTTCCTGGTGTGTAATCTAAATCTCCTTTTTAGGCTTAAAATTACTATTACACTTAAGTTATAGTGAATGGTAGA